CGATGGCACCTAACAACAACAACATCATTATTATCACAAGCAAATAAAATTTTGCTTATAATTAAACATCCTTGCAGTAGTACATCAACAAGAAACTGTTAGAAATTCAAGATGGATACAGAGGAGACCATGGAACTAGGGATATCACTGCTGATGTCAGATGGATCTTGGTTGAAAGAAAAGAATACCAGAAAGATGTTTATCAGTGTTTTATTAACTATGCAAAGACATTCTACTGTGCAGCTGGTAACAAACTATGGATAACATTATGCAAAACCTATATGTAGAGCAAGAGGCAATCCTTCAAACAGAATGAGATACTGTGTGGTTTAAAACCAGGAAAATTGTGTGTCAGTTATCAAGAAGTTGGACAATACGAAGAAGCATCCAGCATTAGGTTTAGAAGAAGACTCATTAAGAACCTGGGATAACCAGGTGACACAATCTTGCTTGCTGAAAGCGAAAAGGAGTTGAAACATTTACAGATGAACTACAGTCTTCAGTGTGGATAACACCTCAAGATGAAATTCCTCAAAAACTGACCATCAAGCAACATCATGATAAATGGAGAAAAGATTAAAGATGTCAAGGATTTAATTTTCTTTGGATCCACAATCAATGCCCATAGAAGCAGTAGTCAGGAAATCAAACTTGGGCAAATCTGCTGCAAAAAGCATTAAAAAAGATGTTACTTTGAAGACTTAGGTGTGCTTGACCTAAGATATGGCATTGTCTATAGCTTCATATGCATACTGGACAATGAATGAGGAAGGCCGATGAAGGATTGATGCCTTAAATTAGTGTTGAATATGCATACTGAATATGCATGGACTGCCAAAAGAACAAACATCACTCATGATCATACCATGAAGGGTGTAGCATGCAACACCTTTAATCTTTGTTGTTGTTGTTAAGTGGCGTCAAGTCATTTCTGACTCATGGCAACCCTTTGTAGGGTTTCCAAGTAGCAGCTGGTGAGTTTGAAACACTGACCTTTTATTCAAACTGACCTGACCTTGCGGTCCAATGACAGCACCACACCGGGACTCCACCTTCTATCTCACAAAAGATAAAAAGAGAGAGATGTGAGCAGAGAAAGAGAGACACACTACAAGGAAGGAAGAGCTGTGTGGAATGTGTCCTTTAGACCTGGGGGTCTCTACGCTGTAGATCCAGGGAATAACTGATGTCTCCTTTCAGCATCTGTAGATCCAGCATTCCTTGGAGATCTCCATGAGTCTTGACAAGGACATTTTGCCAGAGCTGGCACTCTGAATTTGGATGTCCAGCCTCCTAAACTGTGAGGGAATAAATTTCTTTTTGTTATAGCCATCCACTTCTGGTATTTTTGTGATAGCAGCATTAGATAGCTAAGCCACCATGATTCATAACCTCCATCTTCAAGCAGAACAACAGCAGGTCAGAGCCATCTCACAGTTCTAACTGCTCCTTCCTTTTCCTTCCTTTTCTTACTCGGGATAAATCTCTGTGACTTTTGCTGGGAAAGGGTCTCTCATTTTAAGGTCTCATGTGATCATATTAGGCTTTCCTGGATGACTGAGGATCTCACCTTTATACTAGAATGAGTGGGCATCCATAGGTAAAAAGATGAACTTCTCCCTGAATGTCACACCTAAGACAAAAATGCGTCAAAGTGGATCATGGACTTAAATGTAAAACATAAAGCTATACTGTTGTTTGTTGTAATGTTGCTGTTTGTTGTTGTTGTTGTTAAGTGCCTTCAAGTCATTTCCAACTCATAACAACTCTGCATAGGGTTTCTGAGGAGTAGATGATGTGTTTGAACTGCCAACTGCTCTGTGGCTAGTAATCCTCTACTTATCCTATAGTACCAAACCAGGACTCCAAAAAAGGAAAAAAGAAATAGACAACAATAAAAAAAACACCTTCATGTCTATTTAAAGTAAAAACGAAGAGTTTTATTAATGATAGAGATCTTGCAAAACAGAGAACACAAACAGAACAAAAACAAAAACTCTGGAGTGGGGTATGGATATGCCCAAATAGGATCATTGTTGTTGTTGTTATGTGCCATGCAGTCAGTTCTGACTCATAGCGACCCTGTACAGGTTTTCTGAGGTTGTAAATCTTTACAGGAGCAGAAAGTCTCATCTTTCTCCTGCAAAACAGCTGATAGTTTCCAACTGATGACCTTGTGGTTTGCAGCCCAATTTGTAACCACTACACAACCAGAGCTCATTAAATAGGATAATTAGGGATCATGAAATCATTCTTTTATCTTTCTTACTTCTTTTTCCACTCTGCCATTATGTTTTCCAGAGTTCTGGTATGGCGCTGTGGATTAATGCTCTGGACTGCAAGGTTGGTTTGAATGGCAAGATCATCAGTTCAAGCTCACTAGCCACTCCTTAGAAACCCCATATTGGGTCTCTATGAGTCAGAACCAACTCGATGGTACTTAACAACAATAGCAATGATCTTTTCCTTACTGTCTCATTTCCCCTAAATTTAAAGTGTATGCCTAATGACAATCCTGCAAGAGATGACCAGGTGATCTCTAGGTCTAGCAATAATGCCCTCAAGTCTGAAGAGATTTTCTGAGGAATGAGTTTCTCTTCAAAATGCCCTCAGGATCAGCAAGACCTCATTATGGAGGTCAAAAAATGTCTCCAAGAATAGCAACACATCACACCTACCAGGTTCCAAGAACTTGCCCTGACCAACTCAGGGTTCACAACAGCAACTCACCCCCACCCTGGCCCCCCATCACACACCCCAGTGAGAGCCTTTAGACTCAGCAACTTATCCTAAAATGAAAGTAAGCCACTGTTTTTAGGAACTATTCCTGTCATGAATCCTTTTCACAGCTGTAAGCTCTGTTCTCCCACTGCTCAGGGGTATGGGAAAGAGAAGAAACAGGGGGAAGTGGGTATTGCCCCCATTTTTTTATTGGGGCAAAATAAATGATAGGGAAAATGGTCTGTTTCCATAAACTTCATGAGGGAGAGAATGGGCTCTTGAGGGGCAGATGACATCTCTTCATCACTAAAAGTCCAGGAATAAGATTTCTCCCTACCTCTGAACTCAAGTTCTAAACACCCCCAAACTGCCAATTCAAAAACTTGCTGGAGGTTGTTGTTGTTGTTAAGTGCCATTGAGTCGGTACCAACTCATAGCAACCCTTATGCACAGCAGAACGAAACACTGCCCGATCCTGGGCCAACCTCACTATTGTTGCCATGCTTGAGTCCATCGATGCTGCCTGCTGGCCAATCCATCTTGTTGGGGTCTTCCTCTTTTTCTCTGACCCTCCACCCTACCAAACATGATATCCTTCTCCAGTGACTGTTCCCTTCTGACAATATGTCCAAAGTATAAGAGATGAAGTTTGGCCATCCTGGCCTCCGAGGAGCACTCTGGCTGCACTTCTTCCAACACAGATTTGTTCGTTCTTTTGGCAGCCCATGGCACTTTCAGTATTCTCCTCCAACACCATAAGTCAAAGGCATCAATTATTCTACGGTCTTCCTTATTCACTGTCCAGCTTTCACATGCATGTGAGGTTATTGAAAATACCATGGCTTGGGTCAGGCACACCTTAGTCCTCAAGCTGACATCTTTGCTCTTCAACACTTTAAAAAGGTCTGTTGTGCCTCAGTTTACCCAGATGACCACTCAAGACTCTCAGGATTGATAAGGAAGCCTTTATTAGCTGGCCAGCAACTACAGCCTTCCTAAAAGCAGGAAAAACTGCAGCCCTGACTCAGTTTTTCAGAGTATTTATACATAGGCAGTCTGACATTATCTTGCACAAACCAAGGGTATGATGTATGCATGAGCTGTTAGAATGGGGGCTAGGAGTACATCAGCTGGGACAGTTATTTCTCAAGATTAACTTGGGAATAGGGATACATCTGCCGGGACAGATAGTTTTCAAGATTAACCTTGGCCGGCTGTTCTCAAGGTTAACCTTGGCGGATGATGGCCATAGTATCTGTGAGTCAGGCGGGGCCCACTCATATGTGAGGAATTTGCATAAGCAGTGTTACAGAAGCCAAGTTTAGCCAGAGTTAAGGGGGGAGGGGGCTTCTGCATCCAGGGGAGTTGATGCTAAACATTTTGCCACTTCAGCCTGATCTTTTCTTAAAAATTAGTTATTATAGGGCAATTGGGTCTTACAGGTCTTATGCGGCAGATTTGCCTAATGCAATACGTCATTGGATTTCTTGACTGCTGCTTCCATGAGTGTTGATAGTTGATCCAAGAAGAATGAAGTCCTTGACAACTTCCATCTTTTCTCCATTGATAAGAATGTTGTTTATTGGTCCAGTGGTGAGGATTTTTGTTTTCTTTACATTGAGATGCAATACATACCGAAGACTGTGCTCTTTGCTCTTCATCAGTAAATGGTTTAAGTCCTCTTCACTTTCAGCAAGCAAGGAAGAAGGAGTGAGGAACTACTTCCGAATATTTAGTCACTGAAAACCATATGAATAGCAGAGAAACACTGCTGGAGGTAGAAAGGGGGATTTCTGGTTCAATGATGCCAGAGCAATGACACCTACCACACAGCTGTATGTAGATCAGGACAATGAAGGAGCGGGTGACAAGATGATTAAACCAAGTCCTGGGCTTTTAGGATTTTTCTCCTTTTGAAAAGTCTTCACTGTTGTTTGTGTATATTTTTATACTTAAAAAATATAGAATATAAAAAGAACAAAATATTAAACTGAATAAAATAAAGAAGATCATGAGAAGTTTAGGATGTCACTGTCAGCTTCCTTCCCAAGATTGGTCGCCTTTTTGAAGCCAAAGAAAGTAAGATCTGAGCTAGCTTTTTTCCCCTAAGTAATCTCCCTGGGGTGGCCAAACCTATATCCCAAACAGCACACACAGGAGACAGTACTGGCATATTAGAATAAATATTTATTGGAGAAGGTCAATATTCTTGGTTGTACAAGACTGTTCTCATCCAAGTTGTGCTAGGAAGAAATCAGGAATTTTCAACAAGGAGTGAATTATTCTATAGGGGGACATTTCCCTCCCTGGAAGTGCTGAAGAAGCATTTTCTGTCTAAAGAGAAGAGACAGGTCTCTGAGCACAGTGCCTTCAACATTGAGAAGGGTGGCCTGAGGCACCTGACATATTTGATGCATGGTGCTAGGGTCTTCATGGGACACAGGTTCTCTAGGGGATGGGGAAGGGGAATAACTCAGTAACTGATCTTTGAATCTCTTCAATTTCTGGGGATATATGTTCCTGTCTCTGATCTGCTTATCATGTGTAGGACTACTTTGGCTGACAGGGACAGCTTTTTGGCTGCCTGGGTTGGTATTGGACACTTCCCTTTGCTCTGGAGAGGTAAGTATCCTGTTGTTGGAGGAACGTCCCTCAGTGGCATGTGGTGCTGCTGTCTGCTGAAGTCCTTGCCTACATCCCAGTTTCTCCTCCAGCATATTCCCAATGGCTGCCATGAGCTCCTGAGCTTCAGAATCACCACAGTTCATACTTTCACCTGAGTCTTGGTTCTGCACAGAAGCCAATACGAACTTGGCTTTTTGCAGGAGAGAGTCCTGCTTCTTGGAATGGATCCACTGAAAAAATTGCCTCATCTTTTTTCTGAAGAAATTTTCTTGAGGAGATTCTTCCTTCTGTGACAGGTACTGGTCAGAGTTGCTCTCACGGGTTTCTGATTTCTTGACCTGGATAGGGTAGCTCTTTGTTCTGGCTTTGGATGTCCCTAATCCTAAATCTTCTTTTCTGTACTGTCCTGCTCTGGGCCTCTGAAGGTTCACTCTCCCTGCAGTTGGTGAGAAATTCTCGTCATCCCACTTCCCAAAGACATATTTAGAGGTCCAGGACTTCTGCCTCTGCTCCATGCTAATGCTTTTGCATTCTGCATGGACATTCAGTCCCTGGGAAACTTCAATGTAACCCCAGGGGACACTCTGGGCATGCATCAGGAAAGAAGTCGAATCCATACTATCTGAGGTAAGAGATGTATTAGTAGAATAACTCTGAACCTGACTATGTTCCTGGCCCTCCAATTTAAACTTTAGCTCACTTACCAGTGGTTTTTGAAGGTATGATAGTTCAGGATCTTGGGGAACTGACATTCTTGACAATGGTGGGACGACAGTGGTAAAGGTAGTTTCTGCTTTATTGGTATCCACATTTATCATCTGGTAGTTTTCCAGCTCTTTAGTTGTCAAAATGTCCCTAGATTGTGATTCAAGAGCAAGGAGCTCCTCAGCTTTGAATATCTCTCTGGACACATTGGCCATGGAAAAATGTTCTAAATTCTCCTCCAAGTTTTTGCCCTGAAGCGTTTCTACTCTATCGCTGGGACTCACTAGCTTATTATCCCTTGACTCATGGCCAACTCCAGCCTGATTTGTAGGAAGCTCTGAATGTCTGTTGGGTATTGTTGGATATTGTACTGTCTTGTTCTGGTTCATTTTGTCTATAATACTGTATTTGGGGGTCATAAAACTCTGCTTCCCATCTTCAGTTGTCTGGAAGTCATCTACAAGTGCATGACTGATATTAGAGAGTGATTGTTTGGGGGCCTCCTGCTCTTCCTTACCCACAGGTGAGGTGGTAGTTTGAAGACAATCCAGGATGGGAATTGAATTGGTTAATTCACTGTCTCCCTGTAAAGCTTGAGGATTTCTTCCAAGAGGTTTGGAAACCTTGACTTTGGAATTTATTCCAGAAGTAGAGGTGACTGAGGAGGGTATGTCGAATTGTGGAAGAGGCCATGATTTGGCTTCTCTCAATGTATAGAATCTGATGGATTCACGGACCTTGAGAGGTAGACCCCACTTCTGACTCACTCGAAATTGTATAATATGGTCTTCTAGCATGTGTCGAGTGTCAGGATCAAGGAAGGTCAGCTTCAGAGGGTTAATCTGGCAGCATTTCCTACCTGCTGATGGTGCCACGTTTGTATTTTCCATATTGTCAGAAAGAGGCAACATACTCTCATCAGCAAGCCATGAACGGCACACACTTACAGGGATCTTGCACTCACTGATCTGCCAAAATTTCTTGAACAAATGTAAGTTTAGGCTCCATTTCATTTGTTCCTCATCTATGCTTTCCTGTGAGATATTTAGTGATTTATTCCCCAAGTCTTTCCTTGAGTGACATACCCAGTCCCCTTGTGTCTCCTCAGAGATAGTACCTAGGCTGTTGGCTACATAGTTTTCTGAGACCCTTGATGAACCCTTCACCAGACTATGTCCAAAACTGTTTCCCAGGCCCTTCTTTAGAGGAAATTTTGATGAACTCCTGTCAAGGATAATTCCCGAGTAATTCAGTTCAAACTCTTCCAGATCTGTGCTGCTCTGGTCCTTAAACCCAGAGCATTGTGAGTGAGTATGTCTACAATTCTGTTGAGATGTTTCTATTAGTCTGCACAGAGGCTGCATCAGTGCCAGTGATTCTTGCTCTCTACAGATGTGGAGACACTCATGTGGGACTAGTTTCTTTGGGACGTGTAGCACTAGTTTCTCCTGAGGTTCAGTATTAACAGGAAAATGCCCAGAAATGATAGAAACTGGAGCACAGGCCTGGGAGGACTGGCTGACCAGAGGAAGACTGGGAGCTGGAGGACAAAAGGCTTCTTGAGATCTTTGGAATACATGGGCTAAACCCCACAAACTTTCCTGTTGCTTCTTCAATAAGTGGCGTTCTAGGTGCTGAAATTTATGCGAGAGGTCAGATTTGGTTTCATTCTGGGGTCTATGGAAACACACTCCACAGGCCCTAATCTCGGGTACAGAAGTACTGGGTAGGATTGGGAGTGAGGGTTGAAGGTGAGTCTGGGGCTGAATCTGTGAGACGTGCAGGGAATGGGATTGGGACTGGGTTGGAGGCAAGTGTTGGAAATGTACACTGGGGTTGCCAAGAGGATGAGTCTTGGGATATGCTGGGAGTTCTTTATCCTGCTCTTGGACTATGAGATGTTTACAGATTCCATTGAATAAAACAAAGGAAGACTCTAGTGGCAAGCAGCTACCAGACACCAACACATTAGCCACAAGGGACTCACTGTGAAGAGAAGGGAGACCCCAGAAAAGCTGGCTGTATTTCTGCTGCAAGTTTCCCCCTAAGGTCTTGACATATAGGAGCTGTTGACAGATATGCAGCTGCTGTGGTTTGCCTTCAGTATTCCAGCCAGTTTGGAGAGCTGGAGTGTCCAGGTCACCAGTAGGTGGTGGCCATACATTCCTTGAAGATGTCAGTGGGTATTCTGCCAACATTTGCTTTGGAAATAGCCCTTCATGTTGTTCTTTCATCTCCAAAATCAGTAAAGGCATTCTCCTTTTTATCTGCCTTTCTGAGAGTGGCTGGGCATTAGGACCAAGAATAGAAAGACCCTCGTCTTTTATAGGCTTGGTTTCAGAGTTTCTCCAGAGACAGGTTTCTGACTGAGAGAGTGAAACATGTTCTTGTCGAATATCAGAGTGTGATAATGTGGGCAGAAGTAATGTGGCACAGGTATCTGCCTGCCAGGAAGAGAACTCAGAAATAGAACGTCTTGAACAGTTGATGCCTCTTATTGTTGGCACATTTCTAACAATGGCTAGAGATGAGCTCTCAAGGGCAGGCTTCTGTGAGATTGGCATCAATTTGGATTGAGTTAAACTGCATTCTGGTGGTAGTGAGGCAGGCAGGGTTGGTAGTGTGCAATGAGAAGCAAATGAATCTGTTAGATTTGTTTTGTGGGACAAATATGGGGAGGACTTTATCTTTTGGGACAGGGTGGGGTCACATGAAGACACAGTGTTCAGAGACAAAGCGGAATCTGATTGTAGAACATGAGTCACTGTCTGAGTGTGATGCAGTGGGAATGGGGAGAAGGTAAGAGGTCGGGATGGAAAATGGTCCATTGAGAATGTGGACTCCACAGGCTCTGAGGGCAGAGAGTCAGCCAGTGGTGAAGGTGAAAGTATATCAACTAGGGGGGTCATCATATCAGGTAGGAAACTGGAGGAGAGAGGTTCAGAGGGCTCAGACAGAGAGGCTGGTACTGGGTCTTCTGGAGGCTGTTCTGAGAAGGCCAAAGTGAAAGATGATTCATTTGTAGGTACTGTGTAACTCATTGGGCACAAATAGGGAGCAGCATCTTCCATGGGCTCCACAAATAGCAGCCGACTGACCTCAGCAGTTGCTCTGTTACACACCTCACAGGAGGGATCTGAACATAACATTTGACGAAAGCGGATGGTATCATGACGCTGGCCCACGGGGCTGTAGAGATAAGAGGAACACAATTGTAGGCAGGACAAGAACAAATATACCAGCCTGTGAGGTCTGGCAAAGTGAGAGGTAGCCAATGGAAATGGCCCTTTTAGATTCCCCCACTTCTCTGGTCTCACAATACACATTTTACTCTTAGGCACAAGGATCTCATATTCTTCTCTGTGGTTTTCCCTCCCATGTTATCCCCAGGTCCTAATGAGGCCTTTAAACTGTATAAATCCTGATAAAAAGAAAAATATAGGAAATACAGTAGAATTTTGTCACCTTTTCAAAACAGAAAGCAGTTTTTTTGCCTCTTCTACTTCTCTCTGGGAAGTTCTACAACCTAGGAAACCAGGAGAATGGGTTATAGCAGAGTGGTGAAGGTAGAAGTAAAAAGATTTTAAAGGAGGCTATGTAATGTTCCTTTAGTTGTACTACTAGTAGATTTTACTTAGGGGGCCCAAGAAATAGGATATAATGTTAAGAGGTCAATGACAATAATAACAAGGCATACATACATATATATATGTATAACAAGGCATATATATATATATATATGTTGCTTTATCATTCATAAAATACTTCTACATACTTAATCCCATGTGATGCTTCAAACCTCTTGGGCAATACCACAGGGGATCTCAGAAGTATCTTAAGTTCTAACTGCCTTCCCATGAGCCTCTACTCGGAGGGATCTGCTTTCTGAGAGATTGTATCTAGCAACTGACATCCTCAGAGATTGTGGACCTAGGATTTTATGGAAGGGAGAGAAACCTTTGAGCGCTGAGGTATAAATGGTAGAGCCTTACCTCTAAATAGTCCATCTTTCTTCATCCTCTTGACTCTGCCCTGATCGTAAGAGGAAAAACAAAAAAGAAAGAATGAGAGGCTGGTACTCTCTCTAGAACACAGAATTTACAATGACTATGAATAATAGGACTCTATTTTAATGAGTCCTGATATGATGCGGTAGGACTGCTAACCACTAGTTCATTGGTTCAAACCCACCATCAGTCACTCCTCAGAAACGCTATACAATATTGCTATGAGTTGGAAACAATTCAATCATACTTAACAACAACATTTAAGTTAATTGACATTTTGTTCCTTATATACATATATATTAATGTTTTATTGTGAATCATGTGATGGTTTACATGGTAGAACATTAGTTTTACATTCATCCTGTCCTATATTGTTTCATTGCCATGGTTACAATCCCCTCCATGCATCATCAATAAACTAAAGGGTATATCCTGCAAACCTGCCCCCCGGTGGTCAGCACACAGCCCCTCTCCCTCTCTGGGTCTAAAGTTCCCAGCTGCTCCATTTCTCCACATCATCATCTCTGTCCTCATTACTGGCATCACTGCCTTTCCGGGTAGGGTCCCCACTCTCCGCTTTTCTCCCTTGATGGACCCAGGGTCCTCCGCTCCTAGACTGCAAAATTAATCACTCCCCTCCTTGCAACAAAAGTCTACCTTTACATTTCCAACCTTCACAATCAGTCCTGATAACAATTATTCACTATAGTATCATAAGACACCAATCCGCATTTCCTTTCATCAGCCCCACCTACGCAGATTGGATACTACTTGATGGAGATTTTACCTTCCTCCACACCCTTTGGATCTAGGTTCCCTCTTGAAAACTTGTAAGCTCATCACTTCTTGCCTTTGTAGCCCCCCCACTTTGGGTAGCCAATGTCCAAGTTGCCCATCCCTGTCTACTCTGTGTATGGAAGGGGTGGGAATGATCCTTGCTGTAAAGATTTGTTCCCTCTTTTGAGCTACTGCATCCATAGTTGTAGGTCAAGTTCATCAAATTGTATTAGATTACTCTTGTTTTCCTTTTCTTTTTACTTCTGGTTGAGCTCTGATCATCCAGTCATTAAAGCCAGGTCAAGTGGGTATTATTTGCAAGTGTGGGTGTTCTTATGCATATGCCCTCTCTTCTTATCAGCTGGACACTTCACTCTCCTTTTCCAATCCTCTGTGGCTATGTCACTGACTCTGGGCCCCAGGTCTTGCCACAATGCTGGACAACCAGGTTTCCACCCGGGTTCACAGGAGTCTATTGAACTTTGTAGGGCTTAGCTTGCATCTTCATTGCTGTTTTTCCCTCACTTTCCCTTATCGGTAATGAACATGGTCACCAATCAGAGCACATGTCTGATCGTGTATTCCCATTAAGTCTTAGTCTTAGAAGGGGGTTTGTTCTGATGGGACTCAACCATTTGCCTTGATGTCTCCTGGGTGAGCAACTTGCTTGTGCTTGTAGTAATCAGTCAGTCTGCCTATATTGTTTTGTATTTTTCTTGTTGGTCTTTTTTTCAAGAAGTATCTTCTGTTCTTCTAGTTGCTCCAGGTTGGTCTGCTTGGCCTTTCAACTGGAAATTTCCCACCTTTGAAGATTCTGGATGCTGTTCAGGAATCCACCTATGGTCTTATGTGATGCAGAGGCTCCGCAGGAAGCCTCCTTCACTGGGCACATTGTAGCCCCATTTTAGGTATTCCAATCAGTTACAGGCAGAAGACAAACTTACAGGCTTTCTATGGTGATGTTTCTGGCTATTCCTTTCTCTCCCCCTCCAGTGTATATTTTATAATGGTATGCAAGGGAAACCAAGATTCAAAAGACAGCCAAGCATCTTAACATTATTTCCCCCTTTTACCCATCCCAACCATGCCTCAATCCCTGTATCCCAGAGACCTGTTGTTCCAAGGTTATGCATACATCATTATTTACCTCTGTCCCATGCAAACCTGCCTAATTATTCTCCCATCCACTTTGTTCTTTCATTCCCCTTCCCCCTCTTGTATATTGTCCCCCTCCCTAGCACCCAAACCATCCTGTGTCTATTTCCTGTGCTCCACCTTCCTGTCCCTCCCCTCATCCCACCCCCCACATCTAAGTAACCAGCAAAGAATCCTCCCCCCACCCACCCTTTAGTATGAGTTCTTTTTCTTAGTATTTCACAGTAGTGGTCCTATACAGTATTTCTCCTTTTGTGACTGACTAATTTCACTCAACATAATGTTCTCAAGGTTCATCCATGTTATGCGGTGGCTTGCAGCTTCCTTGTTATTCTTCAAGGTAGCATAATATTCCATTGTGTGTATGTATCACAGTTTGTTCAGCCATTCTTCAGTTGATGGGCACTTTGGTTGTCTCCATCTTTTTGCTATGGTAAATAGTGCTGCTATGAATATTGGTTTGCATATATCTACTTGTGTTATGGCTTGTATTTCTTGTGGGTAAATACCAAGTAGAGGAATTGCTGGGTCATAAGGTATTTCTATTTCCAACCTTCTGAGGAAGCACCATATTGCTTTCCAGAGAGGTTGGACCATTTTGCAATCCCATCAGCAATGCAAGAGTGTCCCAGTCTCTCCATATCCCTGCCAGCATTTATTGTCCTCTACTTTTTTTATCTTTGCTGTTATTGATGGTGTGAGATGATATCTCATTGTTGTTTTGATTTGTATCTCTCTAATGGCTAGTGATTATGAACATTTCTTCATATGTTAAATGGCTGTCTGGATCGCCTCATTGGTCAAGTGTCTTTTTCTTGTCCTGTGCCCATTTTTAAATTAGGTTATTTGTCCTTTTCTTGTAGAGGTGTTGTAGTTTCCTACATATTTTAGAAATAAGTCCCTTGTCTGATGTATCATTGCAAAAGATTTTTTCCTATTCTGTGGGTTCTCTTTTTACTCTTCTGGTGAAGTCTTTTGATGCCCATAGTTTTCAATTTTTAGTATGTCCCACTCATCTATTTTGTCTATTTTTGTGTAGTTTTCAAAATACTTGGTAGTCTGTATATTCCCTGAATTAGTGCCCTCACATTTGTCCCTAGTTTTTCATTGATGGCCTTCATAATTCTAGGATTCACATTTAAGTCTTTAATCCATGTTGAGTTGATTTTTGTATAAGGCATGAAGTGAAGGTCTTGTTTCAGTCTTTTGCATATTGCCTTCCTGTTCTGCCAACACCATCTGTTAAAAAGACTATCACCTCCCCATGCAATATATTTAGGTATTTTGTCAAAAATCAGTTGGCTGTATGTAGATGGGTTAATTTCTGGATTCTTGATTCTGTTCCATTGATCTATGGATCTTTTGTTGTACCAGTACCAAGCTGTTTTGACCACTGTACCGTGTAGCAAAATTTGAAGTTGGGGAGTGAGAGGTTTCCAAGCTTATTCTTCTTCTTAAACAGTGGTTTGTTTATCCTGGGTCTCTTTCCTTTTCATATAAAGTTTGTAATTATTTTTTCCATATCTTTGAAGAATGTTGTTGGACTATGGATTGGGATTGCATATGTGTAAATTGCTTTGGGTAGTATTGACATTTTCACAATGTTAAGTCTTCCATTTTTGTAG